CGATATTGAATATTGCAGATGAAAACGTCACAGTAATGGGTTTTAAAGTTACACCGGCAACAACACCGGAAACAACTTCGAAAGAACCAAAAACTGGGAGAACAATCAGGAATCAGTTTTGGTCGACAGGTTTCGCTAAAAGTGATGAACAAACACCGAAACGACCTGAAACAACTGTCAGTCGACAATTTTTACCAAAGAAAAAGCACGGAATCAGCGAAGTTTGGTCGAAGCAAATGCAGGAGAGTGTACGTTTTGAATCGTTTAAGTCTCTACGGCAAAAGTTTCAAACGTTAGTGTAATACAACCAGGAATCAATCCAGTTGACCAAAACTGATTCTTGGTTGTATTACACTATCGTTTATAAACAATTATATTCGTATGGGATTATGGAGAAATAGTAATTGAAGGAGAAGGTAGAATAAGCAGAATTAATTGGTAGGAGGATATTTGACTTAGCCAAATTAGCTGAAAATTTGATATGATGATAAATGGCTATAATAATGATCGAATCAGTTAAGATCGAAAAAATAAAATTAAAATAATTGGTACACAGCCATATGTGGGCTAAAAAAATGTTTGGTTGGAAGGTCAACGTCAAAGAGATGGCATTCACAGTTGAACTTCACTTCGAAAAGTATAAAAATTAAAGAGAGATGGCATGATTGATTACGGATCAGGAAAGGGTTGAAAAAAGAAATTAGGTTGGAAATTATGCTTCGCCACCTGACACAGAAATGATGGCATTTATTATTGGAAATGGTGCAAAGGAAGACTGGATACTTAAAATTTGAAAGCCCAAAGCCTATGGAATTCTATCAAACAGATGCTCAGAAGTGACAAGTTTTTATCTAGCCAATTTTTCTTCTTTGAAATTTAGTTGGCATAAAAATAAGCAATCTTTTGAAATTATCTGAATAAAAACAACTGAAAAACATTTCAAAAATATTTTTCTTCAAAAATAATGTTGTTCCATTACCATTCTATTACTTTTCTCACATTATTAGTTATCAGCAATTTTCTTTTTACCCTGATATTTCAGCGTGATGATCTGAAACAACCCTTTCCGTATACACCATTCAAATTAGGCTCATTAAACAAAAAAACATCAGTAAATATATTGCATGATGGAACTTTGAATACTCAATTAAATCAGGATTTGTCACAAATCTATGGTACCCAACAGCAACCAGGTTAACATTTGGTTTACCTTTCTAAATTTCCGCTATTTGAAAATAGTTAATTTGCAAAGTTTACTTCAAAGTTTTCCAACTGAGAAAACTGAAGCCGAAATCCTAAAAATTTTTCAAGGTTATTCTAGCAGCTTAATAATTCTAGCTTTGTCGGGTCATCCACGGACAGTGTCTAGTATTCAAGGGACAATGAAGACACATCACACCAACGATTTATATGGCAAGCTATTCTTTTTAGTGTTTTTTTGAAATTAACTGGAAATTCTTATGCCAAGACCTTTTGAATTCATACATCACATTTATTTGTCGTCTTTTCTAACTTTTTAAATCGTTAATGGTAAATCATACATTAGCATTGGAAACAAAAAAATTTTGAAAACATTTGAGAACAAAAGTTGAGAAGAAAAGTTAGATCAAATCTTTGTCTTTGATTAATGAAATAACTTGCGAATGTGAATAACAAAGAAGGTTTGAAAGGTATAACAGATTCTGTACTGAAGTACAGCACAAATTCATGAAAAGATAATTAACTAGTGATGTAGGATGTTGAATGTTCAACATATTATTGCTATTGATGTACTTACTATAAAAATTATAGATAAATTTGCTCATTAGAAAGTTAGTCTTCGTAGAAGTTTAATAATCTAATTTATCAACCTGCAGGTACCAGCGCCATACCACGCCCGGAACCGAAAGGGATTTGGAGAGGGCCACAATCCGGAATAATTCCACCACCACCGGCTCCGTATCGTCCAAGTAGTGCAATGAATATAAATATACCTGTGTTATCTCGACCCGCTTCAAGAGCGAATAGCGATTTAGGAATAGGTATGAAATGATAAAATAATTTACAATTGTCATCAATTCCGATTAGATGTTTTGATATTATCAATGTTACTTTTTATTGCTTATTTTGTGAAAAAATAAGCAGTAAAAAATCCTTAACTGATTTAATTGAGGATAAAGATGAAAACAATGTAAGTGCAAAGTTCCGAATTGAAACATCGAATCACTTATTGAAATTACTTTGATTTATGATCTCATTTCATTTTCCGATTCATATTTGTAAATGGTATGTCGAGAAATAATTAAATTTGGTAAATAACTCATAACATGATGTCCAAACAAAGAGTCGAAAAATTCAGAACTTCAAGTGTTTTTTTCTAGAAGACAAATGCAAAATCAAGTCTGACTTAGAAAACCAGGTAAATATAGATTATTGCAGTACAATGCTAAAAGGCTGTAATAATTCTTGAGGTTCGATTAAACCATTGCTATGTTTAGGTTATTATTTATTTAGGTACCATTGCTTTTTGCGATAGCATTGGTAATGTGCCTTCGAGATATCAAAGTTATTGTACACTTCCTCGGCCGGAACAAATCGATTTCGATCAACACTCAAATTACGGCAATGAAATTAGCCAAATGGCTAAACAAATCAACCAGCTGTATGGTCATTACAATGCACAAGTCCAACCATCAGCTAGTCCTAATCCAATTAGCAAACAGGTTTGTATTATTTCTAACACTTTTTTTTGAAGCAAAATTGCCTATTCAAACTTTGGGATTCATTTTTAGCTCACCTTTCTGCTCTTTCTAAAGAATCTTTGATTTGCTGATTTGCTCAGTCATACCACAACTTCATCATTTATATTCTGAGCACATAAAAACTTCCTGCGACGTAAAAATCGAAAAGTATTCCACGATCTGAATTGAAATTTAAGGCATACAAAAGTACACAGTGGTTGGTTATCTTGAGATATTTTAAGTCTAACATTGAACTTCGTGGCCACGTCGAACTTCTCTCTTTATTTCTCTGCCAAAACTAAAATCGCTTATTAATACTCATAATATCTTTGATCAGAAAAAAAATTATTTGATGTATGCATTATTTGCACGTTAAGTCCTGTTCCCACTCAAAATTTATTAAAATTCAAACCGAAAAAGTTACAATTAAATCTTAACAAAGTTAGAATTGAAATGTTTACAAGTTACAAATAGCTTCATTTTGTTGATATATCGTCAAGTTGGAACTTCCATTTGGAAGTTTTTGGCGAAATCATGAAATGTTTCTACATATTTCATCTTAACCTTTTTTATTTTATTTTTTCTTATTTTTCCAAGATCTTTAGAGTTCGTTTTTTGATGTTTCTAAATATTTTTTATCTGGGCAATCTGTCTCGAAGGTTATGATTTTACCGCAAAGCTGATTTTGAAAATTATGGATAAATCACCTTTAGGGCTTTTCTAACTGAAAAAAATTTGCATAACTAAAAAATTTTTAGCGTTAAAGAATGCTAAGATTGTTTGAAAAGTTTGGAAAGATTTAGGAACTTCTCGAGGATTTAGAAAAATTTGTAAAGCCACGACATTCAAAAGTTACCTTCCCGACCGAAAGTGAATAACGAATAAGTTTCAATTTCTTCCAGGAATGCATAAAATTTTGTAGAATAAAATAACCATAATAGTTTGCCATACATGTGTCATCTGTCGCTTTACCAATGCATCACTCCTAAATGATACGGATTTCGGGAAATTTTTGAATTCTGACCAACGCATTCACCAGTGGAGAATCTCTTCAGGGTATATTACCGGGCAGTCGACCAGCATCATCGATGCTTGTTGGAGCTCCAGGAATGGCCAGCGATTATCTTACTCGGCAGCATTCTACAACACTTTATGGGCCAGCCGAATCCAATGTTATTCCGCAAATATCTGACGACGAGATTTTAAAGCCTGCGAAAGAAATTATCTACTTTGATGCACTTTCCATACTTTCTGTCCTTCAGGTTTATTTTTGATGAAAATCATCAAAATATGCTGTCAAATCTATCTTATTCTATCGCTGAACTATATAATCAATAACACAATCACGGGAATGCCTCAATCTATAACTTGCTATGATTGAACAGTTTCTCTGCGTGATAGTATTTGAATGGATTTGTGATTTAATCACAGGAAGTATTTCTTTCATGAGAAAAGTGCGCACTTTCAGGTTCTTTTTTCACTAGTAATATTTGGTTGTGGGGTCTTGCGGATAATCTGGAATTCGAAATGGGCAGTAGGTATCGAGCTTGTCCTTGCTGCACTCATTTTCTCAACTGGTGTCACCGGAATTTGTGCCAGTAGTCGAAGGTTTGTTTCTGGCCATCTTCAGCTTTTAATGGATTAAGATTATCCTTTATACATGAAAACAAAAATCAAGGGGCAGTTTTAATTTAACTTGGATTAATTGAAACTTGAATTATTTGAAAGCTCATTGATTTTCTTTCCACCGAACGATTCAAAAGACCGTTGATTGACATAGTTTTTGCTGCAAGCATAATTAAGATTTTAAAAATCAATGACACTTGATTGTCAATTCGATTGAACTGACATTTTCATTTTTCAAAGTTTCATATTTTTATGAATTGAAATGTCGCAACCAGTTCCTTGCATTTTGAATTTTGAAACAGAAAATCGAACATACTATTCAAAACATGAATCAGTGTCGTGATACATTTCAGGTCTTACAGCGCAGCAACAGCAACATATACTTTATCGATGCTGAACTCTATCCTCTCTCTTATACCTTCCATAATGGGTAGTTTCATTTCTCACCTTTCTCACCTTTGCTGGAATGTAATAACGATTTTAAAACAAAATTTAAACTTTAACAAATATCACGGACAGGAATTTAGTCAACTACAATCTTAGGTACGCTTCCGGCTATAGCAAATGCGTTTCCTACATTGAATCTGGAATGGCTACTTGACGTGCATGAATCATTGACTATCGACTATCTACTAAGTTTCACTTGTTTTGCCGAGGTCAGTTTTTTCTTTGCATGCAATGGACAATCCAAAAATTCAAAGTCACAAGCAATTTAAAATCTAAAAAAAGCAATATTAAAATTCCAAAATTAACTTAAACAAACATTTCAAATTATTTCGTATCTATTAAGCAAGCAATGGATTATATCTAATTTGGCTCCCTTTGACTTCGTAATTTTTCGCTATATTTGGGTTAAACCCCAATTAGTGAAGCCCTATTCAGTCCAATAAAATTCGAACCTAACACAAGGACAATTACAGACGGTGATAGCAATGATAACGTCAATCTATGGGTGCAAAGCATTGGGTTTAACGATGAGGCTTGTTGAGAAGCTTCGTTTTAGTGTTGATCTGAATACTGTCTTCAAAAGCTTATCTCCGGTAAACCAAAACGAACTAGACAGAATGGACAGAAAAAAAGCAATTGATGGTACTTGAAGATAGCTATCGAGAACTATTAAGCAATTAATTGTAAGATATTAGCGGTTGCTACTATCAAAAATTAGTTTCACCTGTCTAATTAATATTTCGAGTTTTGTTCTTCACAATTGCCAAAATTTTCAATTACTACGATTAATTGAATTAATGAAATGGATTGACCCATAGCTGATCAGCTGATTAGAGATAGAAGTTTGTTTTGTTCGATATTTTGTTGGAGAAAATGAAAGGACCGATCATTCTTCCGCAACAAATCATTATTCTTTTATTTTTGCGGTCTATATTACAGATCAAAACTTCAGATTTCAATTATCAGTTATCACTCCTTCATACCATTCATATTGTATTTCACATTTGTTATTCTTTTCGTCCTAGATAACATCATTCGAATGGAAAATTTAAAGAGATTCCATATTTTTAAATTATATAAGTCTCATAAGAAGTAGTAAAGGCCATCTTGGTGACAGTTAGCTTGGTGATGACCTGAGATTTTGAAACAAACAAAAAAGTCATCATCTTTTTAATCTAATGAAAAATACGACAAAAAGATCTGTTGAATATCGTTACAAATTTATTTGAACTTGTTTAAAACTTTTTGAGAAAACCTTCTCAGTTCTCCCAAAATCCATTCGATTTTAATGTTTTCCTAATATTTATTATTGTTTGTTATGCCAAAAGGAATTTTGTTGCATTTATTTTAAAATCGTAATCAAATTAATCGAATTAATTATTTGTTTTTAATTTGATTGCGATTTTATCGTAATCAAATTAAATCAAATTTTATCGTAATCAAATTACGATTTTATCGTAATCAAATTGAAAACAAATAATTAAAAAGATAATTACTGAAAGAAAACTTACAGTTTGATCGATATATGAAGCTATAAATAACAAAGCAAAAGAAATTTATTAGTGCCTATAAAAATACATGAGAAGTATCATAAAAGTATTCTCTTTCACAGCTGCAAAATGAATTTTCGAGAAAATCTCTTCCGAGAAATTATTCTTGCAAATTTTGGTTGCCAAACTGAAGTTACCTTCAGAAGTAATATTTCAAGGAAAAGAACAATCAAATGAAACAAATGAATAGCAGGAGTGCTGGGAATTTCTTTTTAGAATTATAGAATACTGCCATCGATATATCATGGATTTGTAGTTTTGCATTCATTCCAACATTTTGATCTGTAAATCTATTTGTGAATGCGTTCTTCCTGTGGAATCCCCGAAAAATTGGACATGAAGCCGATACAACATCATGGCATTATCACCTGATAGATCTGAATATTGACAAGCGGATTGACTTTAATGCATTGAACTGGAATGGAAAAGTATTTTAGAATAGCTCATAGACATTCAGCTCTTATCTAATCTCATTAATGTAATGAATAAAGATAAAAGTATAATATCGGGCACTATAAATTATCCAGATTTTACTTATCCAACTTATCCAACTTATTCAAACTTATCCAGATTTTACGTGGATATTTCCAATAGGCTGAATGATCTTAATGTTGTTTACCCATCAAAAATAAATACTTTATATCGATTTCTTCTGTAGCTGCATGACTATTCTCAGATCAAATTGTTGCCAGCAACAGCCACTTTTCGAGTTTGCAAAATTTTGTCATTTCCAAAAACGGGAAGTATGAAAATAAAGATTGATTACTTTTGAAGTTCTGTTCGCTTTTGTCAAACAAATTCGATTGGAGAGAAATGAAAATACATTAAACCAAAGAGTAAGTGTCACTTTCAATATCATAACACATGTAGTCGTTTACAGTTTTTTCATCATTACAGTCATTTGTCAAACTTCTTTTTATTTTCAATTTGATAATACCAAAAATTTGAAAAAAAAGTTGTGACTGCACTCCAAAGGTCTCATTTGTAAAAAATTGCACACAACCGCGAATTCTTTTTAGTTCCACATGCAATCCGTAAGTATTTAATGGGAAACATGAGAAATATTTGTGCCACAATATATTTTTGATTTCGTCTCACAAAATTTTGTGTTTAGCAATTTCAACTTAATATTATCAGCATTTATACCGGTATGTGACATTAATGCTAATCCAATGACTTCTTGAAAAAGCTGTCAAGATATAATAGTTATAACTAATATGCTGTAATTTCAAACCTGCGACATGAGAACTTCAAGAAAACTTCTATATATTTATTTTTTCTATATACTTCAGCTACTGGAAAATGCCAAGTGATCGATACATTTTTCAATAGCTGAAATACAGAGAAAAGAAAATGTTAAGTCGATGGTGTTCATAAGGAAGTAGAAGTGACATTAGAAAAAGTTTGGGAATGAAACATTTGATGAACAGTTTTGGTGAATTATTTGCAAAATCAATAATCGCAATAGAACAGCAGTCATCACTATTTTGAATTGCCAATATGTTTTTGATAACATGTTTTGAAAAAATACGAAAATGTCAACAAGCACAGTTTGTTTTAAATTTCAAAAGCAATTATAGGATTCTCAAAAATTTTGTTTCGATAATTTTTGAGAACCATTAATTTTAACAAATATTTGTAAAGCTTCAGAGGCAAAATGGTCAACTCAAATAAATAAAAACTGATAACGAAGAGATCGTTTGCTACTATTACTTCATATCACTAATTATTGACAATTTTCATTTATTTTGATGAAAAAGAGCGCTGCTTACTGTTCCAGTTCATTCAAAATTTTTCCTGATTTTAAACAATTTCATAGAAACTTATCACTAAACCAATTACGCTATTTGGAAATGAAAAGGACACAATCACAGGCTTAACACTGATAACAACATGCATATGTACGACTTCCTTCATGAAAGTAAAAGTTATGGAGTAAAAAAGTTCTACATTCGAGTTCTTCAGTTCATTTTAAACTACTAAGTGACTAAATTCTCTGTAACATTTCAGTTTACAAAAACAGACATCATTATATCATCAAGTTAACTGATTGAATAGATGAGATGATTTCCATCAAAAAGTTTTGAAAACAAGCAATCTGCCGATATTTCTTTGGCTTGTTGTTTTGAATTGGATCCTAGCGCAATACTCAAACAATTCCTTCATCCAAATGTTCCCTTTTTTTTTTTTAATTTTGCTGTCTTGTTCAGATCAGCTTTGGCAGCTAAAAGTCATTCTCCATTCATCAATATTTACTCTCTCAATCATTTGGAAATATGCAAATCAGATTAGTGCTCTACCAAGCATCCTTTATTGTTCAGTGTTGGACGCAATAATCTGATTTAAATTACCGAATGAATTATAATCAGAGTGGCGACATTATTTTCGACATGCAGCAAAGTCACGATGCAATAAATGTTGCAGTTTCTATGAAAAATGACTGAAAGTACCGTCAGCACTGAAAAAGTTAATAGGTATGAATGCTTTTTTTCAAATCAATTTGTTTTCATTAACCAAATTAAGGAAGTTTTATTTGGCAGTCGCGATCGAATCCGTAAATTTTATTTAGTTGTAATAAGATTTCCAAGACGTTACTTCTACTTTAGAAAAAATTCATTCTTAATTTCATTTCTTGACATATTCGTAAATTGCAGCATTGGTATTTGGTCATTTTCCGCTTGACTTAATTCTTTAAACTTAATATGGAAGACGAGAATGTACCAATACCTTTCCCTCTGTAACTTTGTTTTAATTTGCTGAAAATACTACAAATGCTTGGCTTTGAAGATTCACTATTACTAGACTCAGAATGTTGAACGAAGCCATTGCATGAAGCATGACATTCAATTGTATTAAAAATATTCGCTTTTTTACAAGCACATTTCTTGATCTCAGTTTTGAATATTGATTTCAACAGAAGTCAAATTTTAGCTCTTCTACAAAAGAAACTGTCAGCTTAGATGAAAGGAAAACATCATGGAAATCAATATGGATTTGTAATGTCGTATGTGTCATGACAGGTGTGCAATTCTCAATATTCTTCACATCCATGTGGCCATACTTGAATGGAGTTAGTTTTCGAAAATTGCAAATTTTAAGTTTTGTACTCGAAGCCAAGTGTTCATTGATTAGTTGTGTGACAGTAATGTCTGTAGAGATAAAATGAAATTGATAATTCATTGAAAATTGCTTCATTTGGTCATCATTTGAAATCGGACAACAAATAAATAGTGAGAAAACAAATATTATTTCGAACTATTTTTCGTGCAATCAAAAAAATTTGTATTTTTTAAATCATTGCAGTTAGATACCTCTGCTAATTTGGAATTTTTTGGCTGGACAACTGCATCGTATTCGATTGGTTCCACAATTTCCACCACCCTTTTCGGTTTCTGGAATCAAAAGACGATGTCAACTAAGTACCCAGCTAGCTTGGGCAATTTGCTGATGGCACTCGGCAATTTGCTGTACGGTCTTCTGCCAACTCTCGGTGCAAAAAAGTGGTTTATGCTTTTGGCGCGTTTTGTTGTCGGCCTTGGCTCAGGTTAGGTCATTTTGCTAATATCGTTATTTAGCAGTTAGTCATTAAACCTTGTGCTATGAAATAGTTCGATTATTTCTTCAGATTTTGAACTTTATATAGTGCCACTGAAAAAAATTATCGAATTTCATAATCTGCGTGAAAAGCTGCAAGGAATGAGAATAACAGTTTTTTCATAAAGTAAGATAAAAAAAATTATTTTAATGTTTTGTTGAGAAAAAAGATACGGTTCCCAGGTCACCTATGCGTGTTACGGACGTATGTAGCCACAGCAAGTATACCTCGTGATCGTGCCAAAGCCTTATCTGTCACCATTGGATCTTTTGTATTTGGGCTATCAATTGGGCCAGCACTGCAGGTATTTGAATATGTATTAAAAATTTTTTGAGACAAATAGGTTTCTGCTACAAAGTGAATTATTACCAGAGTTGATCTCTGGCAGCACTTTTTAGTCCAGCCATTTGTATACTATTCATTCATCAGTCTTTTGTTTTTATTCGTTTGAAATTTCCGCTAAGTAATCAATGACAAATAACGCATGGATAGCGGCATTCTCTAATAAAACTTTTTCAAAGTTTATCTAGATTTCCATATTTCACGACAGTCATATAAATACAGGCCTTATTTACTCCTCTTGGTCGGAGCGGCTTTCAAGTTAACATTGTTATTATAAATATGTATACGTTGCCAGCATTTTTAATGGTTATCGTATCATTCATATCTATCGTTTCCCTCTGTACTGTTTTTACCGAAAATTATTCTGGAATCTTGCGTTCCGATAAATCCGGTACTTATTAGTTTCTATTTAATATAAAAGTTTGAATTTATAAGGAGTTCAGGTAAGTCTATTGTATGTTTTCGAAAATTCTTATACTCTAAATCTATCAGACAACAACCTTTTACGTCCGAAAATTACCAACATTTATGTGACAAGCCAAATAACAAGTATTGTTGCATATATTATCTGAATAATTATCAAAAATGATTGTAGATAGGTCATTAGACGTTGTGATACCGAAGTTCGACCGAGTCGCCGCCGCAATTTGTGTTTACTTGTGGTTTACAATGCAAAACATTGGGACAAACATTGAAGTGTTAGTAATTACTTTCAAATCCACTTGACCCATTTTCTCCTCTTTATTTCCTTGATATCCTAAAATAGCTTTTTAGGATGGCGCCTCCCCTCACGATAGCGATGTACAATTGGACTGATCACCAGGCGGTACTTTACAACGGTATTATTCAATCTATTAGTTGTGTTATTAATGTCATATGCTATTTTACAATTGGTTTCACATCTCTGCAACATCGGTAAGTTAATTTTATTTCAAGAGAAAGCAAATAGCTAATTTTTTATAATTGCCCGGAGTTGAGTCAACCTTTGAAGAATTAAAAAATTTTGCAAACTTGGAAATTTTTCCAGCGACAAAAGACCGATGATACTATTCGGCTTGACGTGTTTTACTGCTTACCACGTTATCAATTTACCGTGGCCTTTCTATACGGAATATTTGGATTTCATGAAAATAGGTACTCAAATAACTATGAAATTGTTAGAAGTACTCTTCTCGGAATGGAAAAAAGACCTAAAAGTCCAAAAATTAGATTCATTTTGACTTCATAGATGGGCTACTAAATTCCACGTAATATATATACAAGATCCCATTGCTTTTTTACCTTCTTCATGTTTGCCTCAACGTTTTTTCTTTCAAATATTGTAAACATAAGAGCCTGAGAGAAGTTAAAATTATCATCGATTTTTCAGCTCCCAATTCAACGACCGAAGATACGACCTATAGCGGAGGTTGTTTTCAGCGATATCACTGGTGTGCATATACAACTAGAGTACCTTTTCTCCTGTATAGTTTTGCAGCTACAGTTCTTTTTGGACTAGCATTTCCATTTTTAGCTTCACCCGTCGGTACGCTCTATTCCGAGGTACTCGGACCGAGAAGACAGGTCAGCACAGTTCAGAAGTCAGTAAAGAATAAATATGAAATAAAACTTATTTAACTTTGAATGTATTTGTTTTCCTTCTGCTAAATTCATCTTATATTTACTTTTTGTTTTATTTCACTTACAAGCGATTTATCTCAAGAAATAGGGTAGAATAATAACGCTGTAATTTATTTACGCAATTTTGTTCAGGGCTTAATGCAAGGCGTGTTTGAATTCTTTGGCAGCTCGGCTCGATTCCTTGGCCCAATTATTTCTACGTATGTTGCTATCATCTGCCAAATTGAAAACCTTTGAAACAGATTAGAAACTTGAAAGACTTAAAGGCCTTTCCGAGCCTTCTCATTCAACTTAAATTTCATTTTTATACGTACTTCAGATATTGATATTAATAATGGCTGATGATTTTCCTTACCAAACTTTTCTAGTCACAATTTGAAATCGAAATCGTCTTGCGAAGTTGCAATTAAACCAAACTCAACTAATCAATCAAATTTCTTATTATACAAACTAATCATCGGAGCCTGATCAGTGAAATTTTAGCCAATGCCAGCAGATGACGTCTAATGTAGAATATTTCGAAATGATTACCTGTGTGTGGAGATCTTCGTAGTTCTCTTATGATTTCTTTTAATCTCTTTTCTTACAATTTATGAGATGTTTCCATTCATCTACGCAAAAAATTTAGTAGATTCAGTAATAAATATATTTGTAACGCACAGGACCATATTCGAGAAATCCGGATACTTATGGCCAATGCTAGGACAACTAACGCTATTGATCATCGGTATCGTTGTGACTATTACGTTTCGACAAAGAATGGTTCCATTACGTATGAAACCTGAAATTGGTGTTCCGACAAAATACAAATTTGGCACGTTTTACCGACTTTAAATGATAAAAATTGCTTTCTCTGTATAACATGCTTTGGGTGGAATATGTGTCAGCATTCTTTGCGGTGAGAAATAAATTCAAGAACTAAATCAATAATTAAAAATCATCAACAATTAAATACGTAGCATAATCGTTGAGGTTAAAAGCAGCATCAAAGAGCTTAAAGACAAAATTTCGCAACAAATATCCGTTCCACTTAGATACAACGCAGCGGAACTTCTTCAGCAGAAAGCATCAAGTGCTCAAGCTCTCAAATTCCAAAGTATGGAATGAAAAATCTACCAGTCTGTCATGTACGCAAAAGCCATGCAAGGTAATTGTCTACGAGATTAGAAATCTTTACAAATTAAGATTATGAAAAATAATAATAGATCTTAATCAACTGACGAGAGCAAACTAGAAACTTGATGAAGACAAAAAAATCTGAGATGCAGCTGGAATTATCGAAAGAAAATAAACCCGACAATAATGAATAAAAACTGGGGAAGTTCGGTTAGAGATCTAATTTCAAAATATAAGTGTAACCAAAGGAATATCTATGAAACGAAGTGCTTTTAGCATGGAATGAAATAAAAAGTAACTGAATAGAAGCCTGAAGCAATTAATTGGATAATAAAAAAAAAAAGAAAGAAAAAACCAATACAGTGAAAGTATCAAACCTTGATCCCACTCAACAATTCCTTACTCTGGAAATTAATTTCGAAATAAAATACAAGGGAGACTGGGAACTGTGGTTCATATTCTTGCAGTCTGACTACCTGGAAGGTCGTTAGCAGTATATTACAAGATGAGGATATAACTCTGTCAACTGTACAAGGGCATAGCTTACGTTCTGAAAACACTGAGTAAGTCAAAATGCGTTACAATCATAAAGAGAAGGATTTGGCTAAACATAAAAGCCTAGTTTACCTTCAAGGCTCACTCGTGAAGAGCGCAAGTAAAGTGGCATAACCAGGTGGTCAATAAGCAACATGGATGCCGGTGAATGGACAGACAGAATAGTAGAAGATAACTGCGATTGACTAACAAAAGTGTCGGTACGAATCTGAACGAATAATCGGGATTGATTGTCTGCGCCATCCCATCTCAGCTATCATATCCCTCGCGATATTGGTCCCCACTCTAATTTTTGCTCCGAAAGCCACACCAGGGCTCGATTCCCGGGGAAGTCCCTTATTTTTCGTACACACAATATGATCCTTATTCAATGCGATCATTTCATACCACTCTACTGAGGCAGCCGCAGCGGAAATATTAAATGCGGCCAATCTGATGGCGATCTTAATGAGGCTCATGTATTATGGGAATATATTATGAAAAATCACGCCAGGAGTTATCTCCGGTTAGATCTTATTTTAGTGGAGAAACGTTGTCTTGGATTATTTATACTTTCGTTACAAGAATCCATCCTTCTTGCCAAATAAAGAAAAACAAAATGCAACTATCAAGTGGCCCAGAAAACATAACCTATGTCACAGAAATGCAGCAGCCAGCATACCGCATGCATTGCACATGCATGCACAGCGATGCAAAACAACCATTGTTTTTTCTGCTCCGTCCATTGCCCATCTCCCTTCATAGTTCCGCAGAATGCGATGTAAAAGAAAAGCAACTCACGAAGGCTTTATTGACAGATGATGATCTCTTATTCTTTTTTTAGACTTTATAACTTATGATTCGATATTTGATTACTGCTAAGAGTATTTATAATACCTCGGCACACGTGTTAGAAGATAAGCCAACCTCAAGTCGATGGGTTTTAGCTATTTCTGTCCAATTTTACTTTTCTTAGCGTTGATAATAGACGCATCTATTTTTTTCTTACAAATCCTTCTTATTAAATATGGGTGGAAGCCGATTAATAAATATTTCTCGCTGGGAATGCTGCCACTTTTTCTAGCGCTTTTTCACTTTACGGCTCTGTTAGGGAATCTAGAGCACCTCTCTATAAATTAGCGAAGTCCAAATTAGTCCAGTCTTACTTCCTAAATTGCAGTGAATCCGATTTTTATTCTAAAGAAGTTTGAAAACAATAACAGCGCAATTTTCCATTTCCCAAGTATTCTTTGTTAAACTTCCAATAAACTACCAGGTATGCTTAGAATCCATTCAAAAATCCGGAATATGATTCAAGTTTCCTGAAAAAAGGTTTCCTTAGATCCTTCTTTTTCAGCAAATCCATAAAATGAAGAAATTAATTGTCTCTTCAGGTGGAAAGATGTCAAAAAGGGATTTATTGAATAAACTGTCTTTCCAGGATGTCGATAAAAGTTGGTTCTTCTTTCATTTTTTCAATTTAATAACTTCTCAAATTGCCGGCTGTTTTTCCTATATTACGTTTGGTACTTTGTTTTAAATTCACTCAGTGCAATTAGCTTTATTGGCAGTTAATTCTAAATATATTTTAGGAGATGGTACAATATTATTTCTGTTATGAAAATTGTTTCAGTATTGGATGAAACAAGGAGGAAGCCAGCAACACGACAAATGAATAAAAAAGAGATGGTCCGAGGTTAATTGGTTGATGAGTCTTTTTTCTTCACTTTATCAGTATTCTTTTTCTTAAATACTTTTCATTACAACATTAGTTATTCAGATTAAGTCTTTTCATAAATAGCGTGTCACATAGGCATTCGTCCTCAGAATTCTAACCTCAGTCAGTGCCGAAATAATCAGTGTAATCAAGAGAACATCTTTTATATGGCTTCAGATGGAAGTTGTAATTGTGGAGGTTCTTCAGGCACAGTTGGTACTAGACACCCAAGCGCTATCGAAATTCCATCACGACCAGTAACCATCGCAAGATATGGTAATATGAAACATTGTCAAAACTGCGAAACAGTAGAAGCTACTGAACATAGTGTGCTTCGAAAAGAAGGTTCAAAACAGCATAAACAGTCATTGCAACGCAAATGTTCAGGATGGTCTAGTGTGCAAACTTCTATTAATGAAAGTAGGGAGGAAACATTGTCCAAAAAACAAAAGTCAATTCAACAGCCACTGGGCTTACAAAAGATCAAGGTAATTTCAGCATTAAAAATGTTCTTTCCTTTATTAAGATCATAATCTGTTAACATGCTAACACATATCAAAAGAAATCAGATTATAAAACGCTAAAATGTTCAATCACTTCTTAAGGTGAAGTTCAGGTGGGACTGAAAATAAATTCAGTGCAGGGGAGGGATAAGATAGGAGATGATGTTGGTAGCAGATTTCACTAGAAAGTAAGAGAAATTTTGACAGAAATCATATATGTGCTTTCGTTTTCTATGGTCGGTCCAAATAAATAAGCCGAATCAATTTTTTAAAGAAGTAACTTTTCTTACTAAGTCAAGTACTGTCTTAATTTCTCATGGCTTACTTCCAGCTGAGAAATAAGGCTGGGGAACTCCAGATGCAGGGAAACATAGGTCCAGGTGTTTTACAAAAAAGAGATTGTAACAGCAGAGGGATTGTAGTGTTTCTCAGTACTAATTTCTAATGTAATTTATGCTGTTCAACTTTCCAATTCCTATGCATAAAAAGTGATAATAACGTATAATCCGTTACTGCCCTGATGTTTTTTACCTTTATGCTGCTTTGTGGAAAATGGTGATGGAGATTTTAGAAACCTTCGAAATATCCATACTTTTTAGGAGAAAACGTTATTGGATCCTCTGTCCTCAACGAAAGTTGGTGATGAATACTTAGGTTCTGCAGTTCAAGGTCAGATGTGTCCCGAATTTGGAATATCACTTAAATCAGAATTTGATTTTTACAGTATTTAATATAAGCATTATTTTCCATACTTTAGTGTGGCTGTTTTAGATTTCTTTTTTTTGAGGAAAAACAGAATCTCTTTTCTCAATGAAACTTTCGAAAAAAGTAGTTCACTTCGCCATTGTTTTGGATAAATGGGTGGATAGAAGATGCGAATCATGTAATGTTCGACTGACTTCTTTCAATTTAACCAAAAAACGGACACGATGGTGTTCAAAAACTTGTAGAAAACTAACAAATTTATGGCAAGGCGTGTCTACCAGAGCAGGAAAAGGTTATATTTGTTTTTTATTGAGTTTCCCTCTTTTTTTTCCGTTTTCGAAATTATCAACAGACATTCCTCGTAATAAAACTTTGGTCCATAATTCAAGGATTTAATACAGAAAAAGTCGAAACCCTGTAAAACCGTTTTGTGAATGTTATTACGTAATGCGAATATCATCTAACTGAAAAGAAAGCAGCTCAGCAAATTTTGGTTGGTAAAATTAGACCACCATAGGCAATCTCTTATTTTCCTTTTTGTTGTACTGACTTTTCTTTGTTTTTGCGCGATTTGAAGAGAAAAGATTTTTTGCATTAATACGTTACATTACACTCTAGAACTTTGGAATTTTTTTTCTTTTTCCTGTCCACTGAATAGAAAAAACTATCACCTACAAGGAGCATTTAGAAGTTATTCAAGTCCTTTTTAACTGTCATCAGCTTATTACTTGCACACTCCACGCTAGCTCTAAAGAGGGCGCTGAGAACTTTGTGGGATTTTGTCTTGTACAATCCATAAGAAAGCATTTAATAGAGGCATTCAAAAAGACTAATAGGATTTCAATAGATTGGGCACATTATACCCATGGAAGCATAGCTTCACGTGTAATGCTTAGATAATGATACTTAAGGAATAGATCCGCTTATGTTCACAATATTTAGAAAATGATTTGATAAAGAAAACCTATTAATTTATCAACTGAGCGACGGTTTTAAGAGGTTTATGAAGGAGAAAGCCGGAGACGTAACGGGGCAGATTTTTGTACATTGAGGGCAAGAAGAACATGGGTTTGGTAACTTAAATTTTTTAAAACTTTATTTTTCGAGATATTGCAAAGCTCCCCCCTAATTTTCTTTAAAACAGTGCTCTTTCACAAAAGAACGTCAGTATCGTATTGGAAATCAGACTACCAAAGGTTTGAAATCATAGTTTCTGGTACTGTTAAAATTTATATATAATATATCCTGTATGCATACAGCTGACTTATAAGGTTCGTTGGTTTTTCTAGAAGCTAAGTTTTTTTTTTCTCGTTCTACGACTTTATGAAAAATCTAGTGCTGGCTGCAAACAATAATGGAACAGAAAGTCAAGCGAATGTAAATTCTGTGAGGGAGGGGTGTGTTGCGGTGTATTGTTAAATTTGCTTCTTGGTATAGTTTAATTTTTCGTCAATTTTAATAAAACTGCTTCATAATTATTATGAACTGAGTGACGTATTTTATCTTGTTTCAGAAGGACACACTGTTTGCAAGATGTAACATATTGAGTATGAAATAACCTCACTTTAAACTTTAAATTAAATTATTTTCTAGATTCAGCAAGCGTCAGTTTCGTGCGAAAAATCAATCTTCTAACCGTTGGGGTGAAACCAAGCATATATATATATATATATATATATCTTGCCACTAGTAGTCATTCAATCCGCTAATGGAATAAATTTTGATTTTTTTGAAATTTTTGACCAGTCGCTGATATTTTTTGGAAGTCGCTCTTTTTGCTACCTTTTGAAAAAGTTAGATACTGAATGCGCAAATAAGATAACAAATTCTGGAAACCAGGAAAGTATGAGTTTTCTGGTACGAGAAATGCTTTTTGTTGCGCTAAAAAAGAAAAATTTTAATCTGTAATGGAAACTCAGACAAACTTCAATTTAAATTTATTTAACTTTAGCCTCGTTGAACCACCTGGTGAAAAACAGGGAGTCACCAAAAATAATTGGCAGTTTATAATAAATGCAATAATATTTTAATACAATTTATAAATCTTTGCACAATGGAATATTTGCGCTGTAGAGAAACAAAGTGTCATTTAACTCATTTAAAGATTTTTGTGATGCAGTTTTCTATGATTTATGATTTTGAAGTTCCTTTTGATGTTTTGCCTTTTTACGATATTCAAAGAAGTGATAGATCCAAGAACGAAGTAATATTGTATGGTTTTTTGAGATGTAATTTATCTTCAGCAGTTTCAACATTAACCATGTCACCGAACTACTCTGGAGAAGTTGTATTAAATGATGGAAATATTGAACGCGGAATTCCTGCAGAGGAATTGATGGATGAGGCGAATATGTTTGAGCAAGGTTTCCCTTTGGATATAGATATGCCTTCTGTGCTGAACAGAAGAATAAGTGGGATTACAAATTAAGCACACGGAAAATTTTGTTTGCTTTCAAAGTTTGACTTTACTCTCCAACGTTGCAACGTAAAATACAAATTCATTCTTTACCTTTTCAGCTGACGGTATTCTGTTTACGCCAGTTGACTTGACTATATGCTATCGTGAAGTGGACCAAAGAAGTTAGGAACTTGAATATTTCCCAGGTAACACCATCGATTAAGAATGTACAAATAAAATCGTTCAAATGAAAAATTACTGCCCTATTGAAATTCCATGAATGAGATATTGTTTATCGACATAGATACCTACTGTTTTCAAAATGGATTTCAAAGTGGCGACAGATTTCTTAAAATTCATAAAGCACATCTAGCACAATAACAGGCACAAAATGTTCGTATGGAATCTCCGTTGAGGATATTCCAGCGCTAAATAGACTTTCTCCCAAATTTTTTTCCTCTAATCGTATAAAGATTACAAAAAATGTGTAAAGAATTTTGCATTCAGTATATGTTTTTCTTTGACCTTTTAGATTTACTACTAATGATGGATTTACTTTTTACTTCGAAATATTAGAACATACATTGCGCATGACTGAAGCTGGTGACGTATTTGTCTTGTCGAAATTATGTGATAATTTCTGATAATTTCAGTTTGAACAGTTTCCCGTTCTTTATAAAACGTTTGTGTTATGAATCTGGAAATTCTGAATGAAAGCAAATGTGATATTACAATCCGTTATATGCCTTTATTATTCTAAAATGAATCATGCCTCCTCAATTGCAGGTACCAGATCTGTTGCATTTCTCCAGTTTCCATCCTTCACTTGGAGATAGCAGTGCGCCACGGATGTAACTGGGCCAACAGTATCTAGTTTTTCATTTATTTCTATCTTGTCGATACTTTTTACTTTTGAAAGAAATATTTTAAATATTTCTAGGAACGATTAATCTTTTTTTGATTTATATGTGCTTCTTTGGTGGTTTTTCTAATTAGCGCGTTGTTTGCTGAAAAGAGAAAAAAGGTAATATTTAGTACAACTGCATAAGGTTAGCTAAATAAAGAATGAGGTATTATATTTCTTCATCGGGATAAGCTCTGCTATAATATAAGAGATTGTACTAAAATATAGTGTCGAACGATTTCTGTTTTGGTTCACTTCTCTTTTAATGAGTTTGTTGTTTTAATTTTTCGTAAAATGAGTGTTAAAATATATTTTTCGAACTTTTCCTGGCTTAACGACAGTTATAAATTCGAAATGCAGTGTATATTTTGAGAAGAAAAGTCAGGTAAGATATCTTGACATTACCAATTTTCATAAAGTTCTTTTTACTGTAACAACAAATTTATTTCATATAGGAGTATATTTAATATAAGGTTTTGAATGAAATCTTTTTTAAAAGAATCAGACGAAATATTCATATATTGAGGTTATTTCAGTTTTGTTCCTTTTCAGGAATCTGGAAGAAAACGACAAACAAGTTAAACCTTTCCAGATATTGAAGCTAGGAAACCGAAGAAAAAATAAAAATAAATTGCATTTATATTCCACTAAAATGGGACTATATTAATTTCGAACAATAGACACATAATACCGTGCACCCCAAGTAGAGATTGTAATTTGAGATTTACAACTTTTGAAAACCAGAAACTTATAAGCTAAATCTGGATTACTTCACATTACAGTAGCATAAAGATATGTTTACACATATGCATGCATTTCGACACAGGCTTTTTCGGCACTTAAATATATTTGATTTGCATATGTAAAATATTCGTTAGAGAATGTTCAGTTGTCTAGAACTAGTTATTTCGAATTTGCCAGATTTCGTTTTCTGACCAATTCTTTTTATTGTAACATAACCGTTTTAATGAAGAATGTTTATTGTATCCTTGTCAAAACTACATCTTTAAATTTTATATCGTTATTCAAAGCACTTTTTTAGAACGTTCCAGAAATTGTTTCATTCTAACTGTATGAAGTATATTATTTAAAGATTTATGTTTCACTGCTGACATAATTATGGGAAGCATTTCCTTTCTGATATGGTTATGTTGGTTGGGATGCAGTAATCAAAAAAAAATGTTTAAAAAGAAAAAGAAATGCTGCCACTACAAAAGTTAGTTTTCAATGTCTGTAACAGAATCGTAAAACATAGTTTAAACTTACTCTTAACATCTGTGAAGAGGGAAATTCATGTAAATTCAAATCCTACCTTCCCATAATAAACCGATAAGTTTTAGTAACGGGCTTTCCTTACTGTGTATAGGACTCCTAAAATTTCGATCAACGCCTAAAAATAAGTTTCCCCAAATTTTGGATATTTCATCACTACGGCACAAAGGACTTGTACTGTTCAAGTGGGAAATATTTCTGCATCTGATACAAACAAAGATGATAGCTATGGTGACAACTATAGATGAGCTTGGTTTGAGGAACTGTGACGAAGAGTACGAGTTATACCCGTCTGTGTAGCAGCAATACGTCGTCTGCAAATCATTTGTAATGTTGTGGAATGTCGATGTATTACTGATTGCTCCATTCTGCCCATAAATTTTCATTTTTAGATTGCTTAGGCCTTTTAAAAAAAAAAATATTAACAAGCTTTGGTATGGATATACGTCAAATAGGATGAAGATTTATGCTTTTAGCTTATATTCTAGCACTAGTGGTTGCTTAGGAACAGTTTGAACTGGTATAGTCATAAGTATTAGAACCTCGATGTGAGTACAAACTCTAATTTTGAGAATGTGAAAAGGATCAAACAGTATGCTGCCAGTATAAGGCACAGTAGGACATATAATTGATTATCAGTTTTAGTTAAGTCAACCACAAAAAAAAGAAGGTTCCAACCATTGTAGTACACTTTCTTGTTGAGCAGTAGAATGAAGAGAAATTGTTTACGCAACTGACTGTCGCCGTGCAAGATACTACGTCGAGGGACATTCCTGGAGTGGAATATCAACATTACCATTGTTTGGTGCAGGCCCGCTCTGTAAACTAATCTTTACTGAGTTTTTTTCAATGACGTTGGCATGAAAATAAATTCATGATGAGAAATTCAGAAATTATCGCTTACTTCTTTACGGTTTCACTCTGTCTTTTCAATATCGTTAGAAATAAAGAGGGAAACTTACAATATGACACCGTAAAAGGAGAAGACAGTGAAAATATTG